TTTTTTTTTTTTTTTTTTTTTTTTTGTAATTCAAGCAAATTTAGTCTGTAATTTGTTTCCGTAATTCTTCACTTCTTCACCCATAGCTTCTACTCACATGAACAATTTTGTGGTCAATTTCATATTAGCATTATTGTTTGTAATTATTTATGTATATTGTTTGAACATGCCTGATTTGATCAGTTCAATGAATAACGGAATAACTATCGTATATATCTTTGACGATCATTCAGCATTCTTTTTAGATATTGTTACCTCGACGTGCTTTTATAAAATCTTATTCAGGCTACTTTCATGCATCAAATTAACTGCTGTTTCATAGCGAAATACTTTGTCTTAGAAATTATTGCTGAAGAATGACAAAGAATACATGTTATTTAAAATGGTGTATAATAGTTGTAATGAAATAAGTGTTACCTTCATTCTTCTTTCTACTATTTAGATAAATTTAGTATTTAGATTTTGTCTTTGTTGTACACATGCAAACGTTTTCTTTGTTCATGAAAAGATTTCTTCTCCAAACCTAATTCTTATTTAGTACTGCTTGTGTGAAATTGGAAATTTAAAGGGTTAAATTTTACTTAATGCATTTGTTCGAAATGTTCCTCTATCAAGAGCTACTCATTAAAATTTTTATCAGAACATTTAGTCATTTTCTACCGCCATGCACAGTTATTTCCAAAAACTTTATGGTAGTTAAACGAGTACACGTTCATACGTTCTGTATTTAAATTAATATTTGTTTATGCTGATGGATTAAAACCATTTCATACTTGTAACATCATCCACCTTCTTCGTTCACGTAGCTGAGAATCGATATTGTTAATTTAATGGGAGACGCACGAATTCTAACATACGATACGTTTCGGTTAAAGCAATTCGCACGTCAGGTTAGGTTATTAAGAAAGTCACTAGTGCGCCTGCTCCGACGCGCAACCGGCGAACAGAACTAATTTAAGAAATCCTGTGTCGTGCCTGTCGGTTTGCACCAGTTCACAGGTTAAAATAGATACATGAAAGTTGGTGTAAAAGGAGCTTCCAAGGGAATTTTCGAAGTGTCGTGTCACTTTATCTTCTGATAAAGACTGGCTCCCCGGAACAATTTCTACACGTTTCCATCAATTTCATTTAGAACTCATTTACATCTATATGTGTTCGTCTCGTTGTTGTTCAGAGGAGGATTCCATCACTGTATCATATTACAATCTCGATACTTTCTTCCCGGCTGTGCATGAAAAAGAGGGAAAAAAAAAGAAAAAAATTAAATTCAGAATGCATACTTCACGGTTGCTGATTACGCGTGTGATCGTGGATCCATCTACCCCAGTTTTGGCAAGCTTTTGGCAGATTTATAAATAAATACTGATTCAGTGCAGCAGCAGCATTACAAGCTGTTGAAACTCGAGCCGCGCGAACAGTGTTTTATATCGCAAGAATAATGTGATTCGTAATGTAATTACGTGATATGCGTTTTGATATGGAAAGGACAGGCACGTATTATGGTTCGAAACATGTGTAAATAACACAGTGTGTGTCTGTGATTATTGATTAAACTGTGAAAATGAGTGACCGTAAAGTTAATGGTAATGCTCGTGTCAGCAACAGCTCCTCCCGATCAAGAAGTCGTAATCGTCGGGGCTCCAGAGACCATGGTACATGTCCTATATCTTATATTTCGTTCAAAACGTCAAGCAGAGTCGACACATGTTAGAGGAGACAATGGCCACTCTTTGTCTCGATTTTTTCTTCTGCTTTTGTTTCGAATATGTACACAGACGTGTGTACATTAGAAGCCAAACTGATCAGCTCCAGAACGATCGTTTGATTTTTGAAAATTTAAATACATACATCGCGCGTTTTGGTCTTGTTGGAGATTAAACGAATTTTCAATCAGCGTTTTTATCCTCTTGTTTTCGTGTATCAGCCGAGAATTCTTAGCCTCGAATCAATCGATTCCTGGAATCGATCGATTTCAGAAAAAAATTTAAATACGTTATATAATACGCTTTTTTGATTTCGTTGCATCGAAATTTCTTTGAACTGTTCAATTAAAGGACGTATTCTCGATATATTTAGTATATTTAGTTCTTGTGCAAATAAATACACTTATTCTCGACGGTATTATTTCGAGAATAATGAACCATCTTTTTTTTTATCATTTTTTTTCTTTTTCTCTTTTCTAAAGGCGTGGCGAGATGAGATTTGTTAACGCAAATCTTCAACTCTTACGACCTTAATATCCATAAATTTGTGTATAGATTAATGAAAAAAAAAAAAAGTGAAATGTCACCACTACGAAATGTACTGTGATCTGAGACTATAATTATCCTTGGCTTGTAGCCGAAATACTCACTTTTCTTTACAACTACATCTCTTGGTACTGATGTCAACGTAATAATACTTTTGTATGATTGTTTTACAATTATTGTAATTTATTATTGTACATAATGTGATCATTGTACTTATTCGAATTTAAAAGCGGTAGCTTGTTACAAAAATTCTATTACATTAACGTAATTTGTATTAATTTCAATCATTGTATGTTATATAGTTTTTTTTTTTCCATTTTGACAGGTAAAGCCATGCAGAAGCAAAAGAGTAAAAATAAGCTCAAACCTCGTGAACTCAATCGAAAGGGAGCGGAGAAAGAAGGTACAGATATGGATGCTTTCGTGAATACGGTACCCCCGGTAAAGCCTGAAATAAAACAAGACAACAAGGATCCTTTGACACCGAAGGATAATAACAAGGAAGCAAATCGTGAGATCACGAAGGACAACAAGGAGAAGGATAATTACGAACCGAAAAAAGAAAAGGAGATTACTTCCGTTCATGCAAAAGCGGAGAAGCAAACAATTCCTGTGACGCCGGATAACCCGAAAGAAAATATTCTCATACAAGCACCCGTTATAGAAAAGTTATCAAGCAATAAAGAAAGTATAAAGGAATCTTCCCCTAAGATAGAGGATAGTAATAAATCGAATGCATGCAATATGCAAGCAAAATCAGTTCCTAACGACGTTGTTGATCATGTGACTGTTAAAGAAGAACCTGACGTAGAAGCAATAGTTGCACAAAAGAACGAAGAAAACTCGAAAGTTTCGGCAATTCGAACAGCCAGCGAGGAGAAGCCGCAGGCATCCCCGGTTATTGAGAAAACAGCCGAAAGCGAACCTGCGGCACAGACTGAAACCACACCTGTCACGAATCAGATACAACTGAAATATAAGTATAAAGATGATCAATGGAGCCCTATAAATCAAAACGGCAAAAGGGTTTATGGTCGTGAATTTTTAATGAAATTACAGGACGATCCTAATAGTAAAATCAAGCCATCTAATTTGCCTGATTTAGATGTCGTTTTGAAAGATAGTTCTAAGGTATTGCATAACAAAAAAAATGTTTATTTCCATTTGATATTGTTATAAATGCATATGTAATATAAATAACGTAATAATCATTTGTAGACAAGGAATAACGTTGAACTTAGGCCATTCAAAGATACAAATATGAATAGACATGATGTTCTATTCCCTGGATTCATAAAACCGACTCTAAATGCACGAGTGGTAAGTTTGGAAAATTTGGAACACATAAAACTGAGATGATTTAACAAGTGATGCATTTGAAAGTGAAAGTAGTGGACTGAAATTTTCTTTGAAAGAAAATCTTTTTTTCTGACATCTGTATTTTATTATATAGTAAATCACTGTAATTCTACATTGATACAATGTATTTATTTTTATTTAGCCACCATTGAATCGTAACAAAAGTCATTCAGGAAAATCATCGAAACCAACGAAGCCAAATGTTATTCATGTATCATTATCCCTAAGAGAAGATGTAAAATTGAGAGAAACTGAAAATGCATGGAGGCCGACAAGATTAAAAACTTTAAATCTTAGCGAAGAGGAGGCCAAAACAGAAGCTCTTTACAAAAAAGTTAGAAGTGTATTAAATAAACTTACGCCTCAGAAATTTAATACCTTAGTTGGTCAGGTTCGTTCATTGTCAGTCGATACGCCGGAACGACTGCAAGGTGTTATCAACTTAGTTTTCGAGAAGGTAAATTAACTTCCTTAATAATTACCATATAGTAATTTATTATATATCATTTTATTGAACGTGGATTTATATTATTTTCTGTTTATTGTTTCTTTTTTTTTGTTTTCTTTCACATATATTATTTTCTGTTTATTGTTTCTTTTTTTTGTTTTCTTTCACATATTCGTGTTTCTTTGATTGTTGCCGTTATTATCTTGTTTTCTATACCATTATTTTTTCCCCTCGTTTTTTCCAAGTGTCAATTCTTTTTTTCTTTAGTTAGTTCCTTTATTATTTATTTAATGTTTCATATATGTAATTAATATGTGTTAATGTTTCATATATACATACATACTTTTTTTTAAATGAAAATTTAACAAACTTAATTGTACAACTTTTAGGCTGTGGATGAACCAAGCTTTTCTGTAGCATATGCATTAATGTGTAAAGAACTTGCTGTGATGGAAGTCTCTGGTGGAGATAAAAATTCGGAGAAACAAGAGTGCTCATACACTTTCAAAAAACTTATTATTAATCGGTGTCAGAAGGAATTTGAAAGAAATCCGGTAAACGAAGTAGCGAGAGCTGCCAAACTTAAAGAAATAGAGGAATGTACCGATTTTGTAAGTCCAATTGATTAATTTTTCTGTATTATTACATGTTCATTAATGATTCATTATCAATAAATTTTACTATGTTTCAAATTAGGAAAAGAAAAAAGATTTACAATTACAATTTGAAGATGAAGAACGCAAGACACGTATAAAATCAGTAGGAAATATACGGTAAGCAATACAAAATATGTAATTATTAATAGAAGTGTTACCCTCTTAATGCATATCTCGTAATGTATGTTGTAATTCTTATTGGCATTTTATCCTGCAGATTTATTGGTGAATTGTACAAACAAGGTATGTTAACAACTAAAATCATGCATCGTTGTATGACGGAGTTGTTAATTCAGAGTGATGAAGATAGTCTCGAATGTTTGTGCAAGTTATTAACAACAGTTGGAAAAGATTTCGAATCAAAAGTGTCTCCAAACGTAAGAAGTTTGTTTTATTTTATGATTAACAAAAGATACTTTGTTTTTTACTAAAAAAAGAACATTATAATTTACTGTTACATATAATGTTTTGTATTATATCTTTTTTTTAATTAGGAAATTCAAGATTATTTCAATAAAATGCAAGATATTGTTGCACGAAAAGGACATGGAAAAATTAGCTCTAGAATTCGTTTTATGCTGCAAGATGTAATAGATTTAAGAGCGAATAATTGGATTCCAAGAAGAGATGATAGTAATCCTAAAACAATAGATGAAATTCAAAAAGAAGCCGATTCTGATAGATTAGATAGCCAATTAAGTAATACTCCCTTAAATACACCACGAAAAGATGAACGTACTAATGATAGAAAAAGAAATCGTAAGTATCTAATCAATGCAATGTCTAAATTAATAATTTTAGCATTGATGCAAACATGTAAACAAAATTATAAATAGATATATTTTTTATATATATTTTTTTAATGATGATATAACACATTTTTTGCCAGACTAGAGTTTCTGATAAAAATGATTGAAGTGTATTCTGATAATTTGTCCTCATTTTTCGCATTATATTTCTTATAAATAGATATATATGTGATTAATAATAGTGCTTTATAATCTAGGTGGTGTTGGGCCAACTGACGATGGTGGTTGGAGTCAACCTGTTGTAAGAACAAGGCAACCATATTCTGTTGAAACAGCTAAACTTAAAAATAAACCTGTAAGTTTAATTTTTTGAATCAGTTATTGAAAGTAGTTTATACGAATGTAGCGAAAACGAAGAACAGTAATATAAATATTTACTATTTTTATTGTAGCCTCCAATGGATGATCTGCAATTAGGAAGCAGGAATATGTATATGTGGAAAACACCTTCGAGTTGTGGCTCAAAGGCGATAAATTCAAATAAGTTTGCATGCTTAGAAAATGTATCGAATTTAGAGCAAGATAAACGAATGACATCTCCACAACTCTCTGGGTAAATTTTTTTAATGATTAACTATTATATTTTTCATTACCTGATGTTTAACCCGTTCGCTGCAAATATTAGAAAAACTACACTCACCGAAAATAAATAACTTCCGATACGCAGCGAACATGTTAATAAAGTAGTAATGATGATATATAGATACTAGGCTAGAGTTTCTGATATGATATATGATTTTTAAAATATTCTGAATATTTTTTTAATAATCATGTATAAAGTATACACAATAATTTAAATATTTAATATTATGAATTTGTTCATTTTTAGATCAAGGTCCACTGGTCCAAGAGAGTATGGTCGTGACTATAAACCTTCTTATGGTATGTCTATTATATACTGGATGATAAAAAAATTAAATAATGTTAAGTTTTTAAGCAAAAAATAATGATGACAAATTTTACATTTTTGAAAAGTAAAACTTAATGTTGTTAGCCAAAAGGATTCTGATATTTTAAAAAATATGTTTCATTTTCGTATTATTGTGTTTATACTATTTAAATAAAAAGGAATTTTATATTCTCTTTATTGCAGATGGTAGGAGTTCACGTAATGGTAGTCACCAATTAAGCAGTTCGTCGTCGAGTAGAGAAAGCTCGTTATTAGATAATTCACAGAGTCAAGGCGTTTCTATGCCACAATCATTAAAATCTTCGCAATCTACCTCTAGCTGTCACAAACCCCAGCTGTCGGAAGAAGAGTTTATGAAAACATTAAACAAAATAATGAAAGATTACCTTAAAAGTCCAATACTTGAAGTGAGTTTCTACCATGTTCATAATCCTATATTTATGTAAATTATTATATCATGGTAATTGATATTTTTTCTTGATAATGTCATTAACATAATTAGCACACTCCTTAGATCCATCTCTGCTTTCTAGGAGATGCTTGAGTCATTAGTGTGCTAAATTACGCAATACCTTCCTTTTGGTCTTTTTAAACAATATTATTAAGTGTAATGCTACATTTATATATATCATTATATACATTGTTTAAGTGATCAACAGGAGGACATCTTATTAAAAAAATCTATTTGTATCAGATTACAATTTATTTAATGTAATATTTAATTGGAATTTTTTATTTTACAGAAAGCTTCATTGGCTATTCAACAGAACTTTGATAATGCATTAACAAAATTCATGCGTGAATTGATTAACTTCGTCCTTGAAAAGTCACCTCTCGACAGAGAATACATATCCCTTCTTTTGTCGCATTTAATCACTCAAAAAATTTTACCTATCTCACATTTGAGAAATGGGTAAGTTCTCAATAAAGTATATATATATATAAAGTATATTATATATATACATTAAATAAGATCAAATTTTTATTTAAAATCTATAAATGATGAGTTCTTTTTATCAGAGAAAAATATGTTGAACAATAAGTATAGTAAAGCCAAAAGGATACTGATTAAAAATTTCAGTACAAAATTTTAAATATGTTTGTTTCGATAAAACTAATTACAATTGTTTTTTTTTAGATTCATTGAAATATTGGATCTAGTTGATGATCTTGTACTCGATATACCTAAAGTTTGGTTATATTTGGCAGAAATATTAGGTAAGTAAATAGCTATATTTTTTATGTTTTAAAATGACAATCATTTATGATGATCCTTCTTCACCGTAGAATTTCCATGCGGGAATTTTAGCTCAACAGGACTGACAACAATTACATAAAATATTACTTTTATGTTAAAAGAAAATTAGTATTATAATATTTCTTTCTTTTTACAGCACATCCAATAAAAGAGGAAATAATCCCCCTAATTGAATTAAAACCTATATTTGATAGTTTAAGAAATCGAGGATATGTAGGAAAATTACTTGGGGAATTATTATCGAAACTATCCCGTGATAAAGGATTGAAGTGGATCGCAGATAAATGGGACCAAAGTGGATTTCAATTGAATAATTTAATTGACACAGAACTTGAAGAAGTTGACAAAATCATTAAAGATTATGTAAGTGTTGATGTTAAAATTAATAAATATTTCATTTTTGACTAAGAATAATATTATGACTAAGAATAATATTATTACTTCTAGAACTTGGAGTTCTGCACTAGTGATTATAATAGTGCCAAAAATTCAAATAGTACTCAGCTTACGATGCAGCAAATTCATGATGAGCTCAGGAGACTCATGAAGGACAGTAGTTTCGATGTAATTTGCGACTGGATAATGGTAAATATTTTCAATTTTACTATATACATATTTTAAAATTTAAATTTTATTTGTAATATATGTACATATTGCAAATTTTAAATTACTATATATTATAAATTTTGAAAAATATTAAACAATTAATGCATTTTATTTTTTGGTTGTTACAGGGAAATGTAGGTAATCGAGTCAAGGAGCCTGAATTTATTCGAGTATTAACGACTGCCATTTTGGAGACATCAATGGGTATGTTTTGTTATTGTATTATATTTCTTAATATTTTTTAACTATGTTAACGTTTTTTAACTACAACCTTTTTGTAATTGTTATTTTTAGAACCAGTCAATAACAGGTGGAATCTCAAAAATAAAGTTTTTGTTCATTTGCAACAATTAATTCGTCGATTCGTCGATACAAATGAATCTTTAGAGTTACAATGTCTTTATGCAATTCAACTTCATTTGCATAAGTTACAATATCCACACGGTAAGATATGAAAATCAAACTAATGTATTTTATAATTAAGTTAATAAAAATTAGTTATATTCATTAAAAAATTTTTATTTACAGGGGTTCTCTTTTATATTATGACAAATTTATCGGACTACAATATAATTTCAAGTGATGCGTTCCTGACATGGAAAAAAAGTCCCGAACCAGCTCAACGTGAATGGCATGGAGTTGCAACTATGGCGCTTACTTCATTTTTCACTGGTTTACAAGAAGCTGATGATGCTTCCAGTGTAGAAGATGTATCGACCAGCGTAAGCCAAGATCGCTGTTGACGATATCGTGATCGAATACATTATCGTCTGTTAAAAAGACTTAAATATATCTTTCCTCGTTGAAAGAAATTACGCAAAGTGAGATCAAATTGCTGTTTTTTTTTTTTCTTTTTTTTTTTTTTTTTAAAAAAAAAAAAAAAAAAAAAAAGAGGAATCGTTGAAATTGTCTTCTTTATTTTCAATTCGTCTATAAAAAGTGTTGTTGACCGTGGTTAAGACGAGCCCGTGATCCAAACAAACTTCGAAATTTCGAAAAAAGAGAAACGAAAAGTGATTAGAAGAGCAAACAGTAAAAGCAATCGACACTTTACAATCAATTGAAATTTATTTTGATCGAGCTAACGAAGGAAGGTGATTCTCAAATCAAACAAATATTCAGCAAATATTGTAACGTGGAAATTGCTCCGCGCTATGAAAAATTCTCCACCGCTGGATCTTGTTTCAATATTAATTCCCTTTCTTTCTTTCGCCCTGCCTGCGAAAGGTAATTTCAAAAATTTTATTCAAACATTTACGACAGCCCTTTGCAGAAGAAACGAATTTTCGAAAATTACAATTCTGGAAATCAAGTAAACTAGTAAATAAAAAGAAAAGGACCGTGGAAAATAAAGTAGAAATATTCTATTTCTAGTCTAAAATAAAATAAATAACTAAATAAATAAAATACAATTTTTTCTCCCACAGTATCAAGCACAAAAAATACTTTCGTCGAAATTAATATTCCCAAGTTAAAGGCACAAGATTATTACAATTAACTCTTCGAGACAAAGAGAGAGAGAGGGGAGGAACAATTTGCCGTAAAAACGAATTTCGCTTTCGTATAATATAAAAGAAGAGCCTGGCATCCTTGAAACGGCGGTGAAATAAAATAAGAGATAATAGATGAAAGCACGGGGAGCATCATTCGAGGGCGGTCCATTGATCGTCCGCATTGAAACGACCGCTTCGAATCTAGCCGCTCGTATCTCGCGTTCGCCATGAATAGTGACGTCTCCGGGCATAGAAAACCGTTGGCTGAACTGTTGGCGATATCAGGCTGGCGGAGTAGCAACCGTTCCGCTCGAATTTATTCACTGTGCATTCACGCAGCCAGACACGGGTCCTAAATTTAGGAATTAACCAAGAAACGCGGACGAATTTATTTTTCCTCAAGTTCTCCGGGCTAATCCCTTGTAGGGGGGAGGTGGATGCGAATTCCTCGATCGTAATTGACGAGCTTAAATGGTTGCACTTGCATTTGCGAACGTATTCGAGCATTCGAAAGCTTGTTTTTTTTTGTAGATCTAGATAGATTTTGAAATTGTAAATCATCAGTAACTTAACACGACTCGTCACGACGATTGTTTTTACACAATTTGATACAATTCACGAAAAATATATACACGAGCATATCAATGTATCAATTATTCATTATATTAATAATTGTCACTGATTGTATATATCAATTATGAATTACTAAGACTAGCACGTTGTATTCCAATTTTTTATTAAGTAACAAAACATCACAATTGTGCCTCTATTACGATTCTAAGGAAAATTTCAAAGAACATTTCCTAACACAAGTAATAAATTCACAAGAAGAATTTACTTTAGTGATTTTCGAACATCCTCTCGTGCTTTCGTCTATTGGATTCTCCATCGTGAAAGTTTGATCATTCATCGTGTGGATTATAAATGGGTCGCGTACGGCAAAGATGTTGGGTCAGCGGCACGCAAGAGACTGTTTGTTGAACCGTGCCGGAAGATATAAAACAGCCGAAAGAGCTGATTTCGTTTCGCTTATTATGTGAAGAAGGAAGGGAATTCACAAAGCGCCTTAGTATCTTCGACGTGAAGACAAACAGTCGGCATCGAAGTCTCTTTAGCTGTTTAGAATCTCGCGGAAGTATATCTCAAGTGTTTAAAGCGATGACTCTTGACTCTTGAGTAATTTCCACGCCAACAATTTTATCATGTTCGAGCGAGATATGATACGAGCTTTCTCTTGATTATTTTGAAGATGCGAAAACGTTCAGATCGTGGTATTCGATTCGATAACGCTTGTCAAACGAGAGTACGAAGGCGGGAGTCGACAGCTGTCAGCGGAGTAGATTACGTCGGATCGAACGGTTGACCCCGAGATCGGGTCACTTATGTTTCCGATCGTGCCGGTTTTACAACCTCTGTTGGCCATTTGTTCGAGCCGATCGAGAGAAAAGCGGCTTAAGACCGATGGACATGCACTGATTCGCGGTACGTTCTTGTTTCAGGCGGCTAAGCATGCGACCAACCCAGGAGGAGCTGGAGGAGCGGAACATTTTGAAAAGTAAGCCTTTTGAAATAACAAGATCAACTTCCCGCCTCATTAATTGAAATTGAATTGAAACTGAAGCGGAACGCTTAATTAAATTTGAATTTTTAATTTGAACTTTCGGCAAAGTCGAACGCTCGGTCGCAATTTTGAATTGTTAACACAATTACTGTAATTACTGTGGTCAGCCTCGAAATCATTTCGTATCAAATATATTTGATCTTCTGGATTCTGAAAAATTTCCGAGTTACTTGCGAACGCAAGTCCATTGTTTTTGGAATTAATTGTTAAGAGTTTGGACATCACAAAATGAATGCGAGCTTTCGCTTCTGTCCAAGAATACTATAGAGGATTAACGCAACATCTTTCCAAAAGTTATGCTAATATATTACAAGCGGCTTGTAATCGTATCACGTTCAATTTTAATTTTTGTCTTGAAAAGAAGCCTTTTGTGTAATAAAATAATTGATAGAAGATAAAGATCATATTGCAATTCAGTCCTTGAAATTTAAACAATACACACCTTGAAATTTAAACAATACACACCTAAGTAGTAAATAACGTTTAATATGATTTTATTTCCTAATACGTTTTACACCAACTCTCTTGAAATTTAAACAATACACACCTAAATAATAAATAACGTTTAATATGATTTTATTTCCTAATACGTTTTACACCAACTCTCTTGAAATTTAAACAATACACACCTAAATAATAAATAACGTTTAATATGATTTTATTTCCTAATACGTTTTACACCAACTCTCTTGAAATTTAAACAATACACACCTAAATAATAAATAACGTTTAATATGATTTTATTTCCTAATACGTTTTACACCAACTCTCTTGAAGTTTAAACAATACACGCCTAAGTAGTAAATAACGTTTAATATGATTTTATTTCTTAATACGTTTTACACTAACTCTCTTGAAGTTTAAACAATACACACCTAAATTGTAAATAACGTTTAATATGATTTTATTTCCTAATACGTTTTACACTAACTCTCTTAAAGTTTAAACAATACACACCTAAGTAGTAAATAACGTGTAATATGATTTTATTTCCTAATACGTTTTACACTAACTCTCTTGAAGTTTAAACAATGCACACCTAAATTGTAAATAACGTTTAATATGATTTTATTTCTTAATACGTTTTACATCAACTCTCTTGAAGTTTAAACAATATACACCTAAGTAGTAAATAACGTTTAATATGATTTTATTTCTTAATACGTTTTACATTAACAGCAAGTTCCAAATATTTCGCGTGTAACAAGCTACTAGTGCTCTCATCGATCCCCTGTGTTCTCGCGCAAGTTTTCCATCTTCTCGGCAATACAATAAATCTGGGATGATATACAATGTCCGTGTAATCTATTTGCAGAGCAAAGTCCTGCAGAGGAGAAGAAACAAAAAGAGGAGAAAAAGCGGTATCTGCTGCGGAAGCTCAGCTTTCGACCGACCGTCGAGGAGCTCAAGGAAAAGAAGGTATTTCCTATTTACGTCTATTTTGTCTTGTTTCTGTATGAAATCAAACACACTCCCATCAAAGTCGGATGAATTTTTTCACCTCTCTATCTCTCTCTCTCTTTTTTTTTCTTCTCTATATCAGATTATCAGGTTCAACGATTATATCGAAGTCACGCAGGCTCACGACTACGACAGAAGAGCTGATAAGCCGTGGACGCGGTTGACCCCTAAGGACAAGGCAGCCATCAGGAAAGAGTTGAACGAGTTTAAGAGTTCGGAGATGGCCGTTCATGAAGACAGTCGACACCTCACCAGGTACGCTGCTTCTTTCTTTCTTCGAATGATTAATAATATCGTATATACTTGTGTCTTTGAACGAGATTTATTACTTTTTGATAAATATCTTTTTTTTCTTTTTTTTTTTCTTTTGTTATTCAAATACGGAAATAATTTTGATTTTCATATGAGGGAAGAAGATTTATTCTTACAAATATAATTACCAATATTGGAAATTCTTTGATGCATTGCAGTAAAATAAGAAAGAATAACCAGAGTGTCAAGAACTTAGAAATTCAGAAACAAGATTTATTCCTCTATTCAGTTCTTGGATACTGTTGAGTCAAAATCAATACAACGAAAGGACTACCGACTACTTTCATTTAAAGTAAAAGAAAAAAGAGAAAACGCCTATGAAATTAGCATGCCGAAACGATCGCGGGGAATTAGCAGTAGAGAACGATCGGGAAAATTAAATTCAATATCCGCGTAGATAAAGATCAATCGCCATTCCACCTAGCTCTAACCGGTCCATTAACTTCAGATCCCAAGTAGCGTATTTGTATTCTGCTTCGGTTGCAGGTTCCATAGGCCATGACAATTGCAATGTGTTGAGGTGCTACAGTGTGGTGCGGTTATAGGTGAAGGTGCAGTGTGGTGGCCTCGCGTCGAGGCTGGATAAAAAGAAAAAGAAAAAAGAAAAGAAAAAGAGAAAGAATAAGAAAGAGAAATAAAATCTCTCTCGGTCGATCGTGGCTACCGAGGGTAATTTGCACGACTCAAGAGGAGATGTTCCCTTTGCTTTAAACGCTCCGTTTGCACTGCGAGCGACGGTGACGGTGGTTCGTTCGCTCTTTATGACGTTGCTGCGTCGTGTTGTCATCGTCCTCGTCCTCGTCCTCGTCCTCGTCCTCGTCGTCGTCGTCGTCGTCGTCGTCGTCGTCGTCGTCCTCCTCCTCATCGTGTCACGCATCGCGTCTGTTTCATCGACATCGAGAAATCGTCCCATCCCGTCACTCGCACACGCATCGAGGTCATCATCCGTCATCCGCGCTGACGACGAACGTCTCCACGACGCCGACGAAGATTGTGATATAGGGTGACCCGTCCTACGGAGTAATCGAACGAAAGAAAAAAAGGGGGGGAGGGAAGGAGGATCGTGTCGGGTCACTCGCTGATTTCTCTTCGTGAAAAAAAAAAAAAAAAAAAAAAAAAGGAAAAGGCTCGTTCACGCCTGAGCTCACCCCGACGCGTTCGTCAGAGCTGTTACGATGATAACCGTCGAACGTCCAGCGTGGCAATCTTTTCGACCACCTTCCGAGCCGCGTTCTTTCGATGCCAAAATAGGAAAAGAATAGAAAGAAAGAAAAAGGGAGATTGATGGAAGAAAGAAGAAGATCTCTAGTAGAAGGCCAAGATTCGCAGATCGACAGATATTTGCAACTTAGAGAATCAAAAGCGTCGTTCCGTAATGTAATAAGACTCGATTTTTTGTACGAACGTTCGCGGAGCTTGAATCGATTTGAGAACGAGCAAGCCGATACACTCGACCTGTCTCGTCGAAGGTCCACGCTCCACGTCGTCTGTGAAACTTTGCCAACTCTCCGAACAATTTACCGCCAAGCGTTTCACTTAACTTTCATGGAGAGTGCCAGATGTAAGAGAGAGAGGGAGAGAAAGGTAGCTTTAAAGTAAACTTTTAAATAAACTTTAAGGTTATATACGAATTAAACGTACACATTGGAAGTATGTAGATAGATCCGTGGAGATAGAAAAGGTAGAATTGATCGGCGAAAATAGCCCCTTTTTCGAGATTTCGAGAAAATTTGTTTAATAGGGAGAGGAAGAAGAGGAAGAGAGAAAAACGCGTGAGCTCGCGTGTGAACGGATCTTTCTATAGATTGTAGAACACCGTAACTTCTCTTTTGCCATCAAGCTAGCTCGTCAGTGTCACCTGGCATTCAAACGCGTACACGTGGAGAGAGAGAGAGAGAGAGAGAGAGAGAGAGAGAGAGAGAGAAACGAGAAATTCCTAAGTAGAAAAATTCGAAATCTTTTTAACATTCGTGTGATAACGATACCTTGCGGATAGTTTTCGCGAAATACTCAAACTCGAGACGAATGTGCGCATCGCGGTAAATGATTAAAAAAATGAAAAAAAAAAAGAAAAAAAGAAAGACAAATGAAAGAGTAACATCGTCACGGAGATGATTCGTTTTAGCTTTCGATTTAGTTGTTTAAAGATGCGTTAGTTTGAGATATTTTTATATGTTGACGGTTTTAACAAAGAAACGTTATCATCCGCACTCGGGTCAAACAAAAATTCGTTTTTTTATCGAACAAAAAAATAAAATGAAAAAAAAAAGAAGAAAAAAGAGAAAAAGGTGAGAATGAAACGCAAGCTTAGAAATGTACGGCGGCTATTAATGTGATTTATCGATAGAATTCCACGGGGCGTGATTTTAATCGACTTTTAACGAATCGATGACTTCGTTGTTTGTACACCGCGCTATAAAACGTTGCGTAGAATTATATTATAATTAAGCATTGTTCCATTTTTGCGCGTGGACAGTGGCGTGTTTACTTCGAATCGACTCGTGCATTGCGACAAATATCTATGACAATCTTGTTCGAATTGACAAGAATAAGAAGAAGAAGAAGAAGAAGAAGAAGAAGAAGAAAAAGAAAAAGAACTATTTTTCCTTTTTACTGCCAGGTATCACTATTTCTCTATTTGCGGAGCTGCCTTGAGGAGCAAACGCTTTATCGACTTACTATGCACAGCGAAAAATTGCACACGGACGAAATGGAAAATAGTAGAAGTGCGAAAAGCAAACACGAGAAAACAAAAGAAAAAAAAAATTATATATATATATATATATATATATATATATAGTTGTAAAACTCCGTTTCAGCGACGAACGATGAGGAAAATAGAGAGAGAGAGAGAGAGAGAGAGAGAGAGAGAGAGAGATGATGGGAAAGAGGGAGAAAGGAAGAAAGTGACGCATTGTGCAATTACAACACACACTTTGTACAGAAATAATATACATAGCGCATATTTTAGTGATTATTAATTATTGTTATTGTCATCGCTAGCGACACTGCGATCATCGTTGATTTTCGATCACGCGTTTCGATCGCGAAAGCAACCGGTCTTTTGAAACAGCATGAGAGAAATGAATTTTTTGAACTTTTGTCTACGCTATTATATCGGATACTAAAATCGGTCAGTAGAAAAGAATAGACAGAGTCGATCGTACGATCGGCCACACGTAGACGTATATTGTAATCAATCGGATAGGTCGTTGATCAAAAGGAAAGCGTGTATCGCGAGAATTTTCTTAAAGAGAAAACGAAACAAAAGAAAAAGAAAAAAAAAGGACGAAAGAATCGAAACGTGTTTCGATGCCTTGCACGCTTAAATCCCCCCACCCCCCTCGAAGCTTCCTGTCTCTGCAAGCGTGATCGTCATCCGTTTTTAAAGCTCGCGTAAAGCTTGCGTCGAAACCAAATCGATTAAATAAAATAAATAATTAAAATAGAAAAAAAAAAAAATAAAAAAAATTAAAGGAAACTCGCTGACACCTTCTGTTCTCGATGGGCGTTGTAAGAGATTAGAAAAAATAAGATCGAATAGAAGAAAGGTGATCGCAAGTGAAAGGACTTTCGACAACGTCGAGAAATTACGTTCGAGGACGCATTCTCTGAACAATTTCTGGACGTTTCGAATTTCCTATCCTAACGGATCTTCCTCTCGATGTCAGAACTCGATCACGCGAGTTTCTCCCCGCGGATGTTGTAAGTCGCGACCGACGTGTCGATTTTCCTTTTAAAATAGTAATCTAGTTTTTAACGATCGTCCAATGGGGTGAGAGGATCGGATAGTCGATCTTTCTCGCAAACCCAGTCGGTGAACTCAGTTGTTCGATATTATAAGCAAACAAACAAGCAAAGAACTAAAGAGAAAAAAAAAGAAATAACAAAAAAAATTTCGTCAACTTCGCGGTCATCGAAGGTGTCAGGCAGGAAGATGATGATGATGACGATGATGATGATGATGATGATGATGATGATGATGATGATGGTGAGGGTGAGGAAACGAAAATTGAAAAGAATAGGAAGACCTTCAAGTGAACCACGGAGACGCAGGTGATTAAGGAACAATGTAAGGTAGGGAGATGTTAGCGTCTCTCTCGTTCCATTGGTCGAGCGCTGTGGCTACCGTGTAGTCGAACATTTAAAATATATCCATTAATTTTTGGGTTGCCTGATGTTGCAGTATGAGTGCGCTATGTGGATGAGTGTTTAGATAAATCGAGAGAAAAAGAGAAAGAATAAGAAGAAAGTGTGGACGAGAGAATAGGAAGGTCGGGAAAGGAGGGCGAAAGGACGAGAGTGAGAAAATGGGAAAAGATCGATGAGGATGCAGAGCGAAATTCAACGATGTTCTCCTCTTCGAGATTTTCCCATTTCTCTTTTTTTCGCCGTTTTTCGATATTCTGTTCTTTTTCTTTTCTCCTTGTATTGTACTTTCCTTTCTTTCCTTGGACAAGTATTTCCGTCACGTGTGAGAGCCCACTCTCGAGGATGGATGATATAGTAGGAGCGACGTGTACAGGACACGACATGCGAAACATAACGATTAATTAAACGACGAACGATTGTAAATAATAAGTCGAGGCGATTTTTAGGCGTAATGAAACGAGAGAAGAAGAAACACACACCCATACACACACATTGTAAAACACACCGCAATAGTGATCCACAGCTATGCGCTAAAGCGATATTAAGCATGCCAGAACGAATGAATTTACTTATAAATATTTGATATTAGGTAACGAAGAAAAGAATAAATAAGAAAACTGGCGCCCTAAACGCGAGCGATACATACTATATACATATATAAATATTATATATACATAGATATATATATATATATATTATTATATCGAGGCGTACAAGCAGTATGTGCGTTTTCCAGCACAGATAGTTGGTATTTTGTGTACAAAAAAAAAAGAAAGAAAAAATGAGGAGAAACAAGAGGAAGAGTGAAAGAAATTTGCGTAAATAGCGTAACCAGAGGAAAAACAATTGTTGGATATTTTCGCCGCGCCCTGTCCAGTCTGCGTGATTATTATTATTATTATTATATTATTATTATTGTATTCTAATTATTATAATTTTAACTTTATTATTGTATTATTGTATTTTATTATTATTATTATTATTATTATTATCATCATGATTTTTACGTAGGAGAGGCGCGATCAAATTATTTGTCAGCGCTGATAAGCGTCATTGTCGCGACGGTCGTAGGCGAACGTTACCGAAGCGCGTTCCCATCGAGCAAATCGAAAATACAGACTTTTCCTCTCACCGCGAAGAAATACTCTCTCACATCTCTTATCGGACGTCATCGTCACGATCGATCGATCGATCCCACTGAAATTAAAATTTTTTGGCTCTCCGCCTTCTTCGTCATTCACACATATACACAATTTTTCGATTTGCTCTTGATCCTCGCGTGTGCAAGCTCTCGATTTGGCTCACGTTCCGCGAAACTTATTTCACTGTCAACGAAAGATAATAACGTTCCTGTAAATCGAGCACCATTTGGCGAAATCGACGATTTAGAGCGTCTGACAATTCACTGGTTATTTCACTGAATGTTTGCGCGGGAAGATTCTGAGGATCTGGAACAAATTTCTATCTCTGCCACATTTTTTTTTTTTTTTTTTTTTAATAGAAGTTTGATGTTTTTTTTTAACAATAGATTGTGAAATATATGGAAGAAGTTTGGATTTTTGAGGGAAAAACAGTTGAATGCTGTTAGTTCAGTATTTGAAATACTCGAAACTCCTCACAATTCTAATAACATTTCTGAAATTCAAGAACAGATTTCATAGAACGGCAACTAGAGTCGACGTTCAAAACAAATTTTCGGAAAATTACATTTCACGAATGATCTTGATAAACGATTGCTGCGAAAACAGGAAGGAAAGAAAGAATTCGCGGATCGTGTGAAGAATCGAGCACACGCGGCACCCGTATAGCAGAACAAAGAAAGAGAGAAAAGGCACGAGAGGAAAAAGAAGTCAGGCTGTAAAAAAGAAGTTGTCGCGATCGGCGGCCGTTGGCAAACACGGCCGATTCTACTTGTATCATAATCTCTTACGATAGTGCTATTATTAAAGGAGAAGAAAAAAAAAAAAATAACGAAACAGTAACAACAATAAGGTAACTCGTAATTTAAGGGAGCGTGAAAAGCGGAATGAACGGGCGGATTGAATGCGAGCGAGAGAACGCGTGTGCATGAACAAATCTCGTCGCGACGAGAGTACACGTTTCTGTCTAGCGATGTCTCTGTCGTTAAACGAAGCATCTCGTTGCTACGAAACGGGCTTCACGGGCTTTCCGGCCGCTGGTCTCTCGCGATTTTCTCCACTTCTGCTCAACTAACTCTTCTTACACGCATGCCTCTGTCGTAAAACTTTTACCTCCAACGAAATAAACATCATTTTGGACAAACTGAAGGAAAGGAATAACAAAACAGTGGCCTCTTTTGAACTTTCTACAATAAAGTGGATTTACGTCGAAAAAAAGAAAGAAAGAAAGAAAAAGGGAAAAAGTTCAAGAACAAAAAGGCGCGAGACCAGTGTCTGCGGCCAGCCCGAAGGATTTTTACCAAAACGACTCCGCGAACAGCGGAGTGGAAGCAGTTATATAAAATTAGACATAATTATTGAATTTCGTTCGGTTTTGTAAAACGAAGTCGAAGCATGTCTAGCCGACGATGTCGAGCGGTGCTTCCTCGAAGGCTGCCTGTCGTCCACGAACGTGTCGACGACGGTGTCCCCACGCCGAGCTTCGTTGGCTGGTTACGAATTTTGTAAAACACGGACGCGTCACGCGAACGATCGCTGGCACACCGGGAACGATCTCGCTAAAAATTGTACACGATCAGATTGTTTTGGATATTTTCTATTTCGCAGTTCCCCTTATCCTTTCGGTTCGTATATTTACTCGCGATTGATTAGTTATGTTAATCTGTTGCGAAGGTGGTTTCCAATTATTCTCTGATTCTAAAATTACGACGTTTTAATCGATTAATTTGTTGAGTGATTCTAACTAAGTCGGTTATGTTGTTAAAATTATTGTAGAGAAGGAGTGATTTTTAACGCGTGAGCTAAGCTAATTCTGCTTCTTCGTGTTACGTGAATTTCTTTTTTTTTTTTTTAAGATTTTACGTCTTAAGTAGAATTATTGATGAAAATTTTTTAATATCGTATACTTTTAAGAACGACACCGAGGTAGACGATTATTGTGATCCTTCGCGTTATTATATTATTATATTATTTTTAAGAGAAACGTTAGTGTAAATTTATATATCCTTCTTGTCAGTCTTGTATCCTTTCATTTTCAATTTTCACTGGTATTTCTTACGGATTTCAACGAGAGAACGAAACATTCGACCAGCGATCGCTTGCCGACGCGTCGTACGGGACGTAATTTGAAGGAATGCGTTGTATTATATATCGAGAAACCCTCTAAGTGTAAGAATAATAATGTATATATAATTATTATTACCATAAAAAACTTCAATTGATTGCACTCCCGGGGAAAGAGAAAAAAAAAAAGAAAGAAAAAGAAAGGAGAAGCTGTCTCCCCTCGTCTGTGAAGAAGGAACAAAACGCGAGGAAAAATTGAAACGTACGAAAATGAACGAAGATGAAGCAAACAATTCTCAAAACGGTACAATGATGGAAACACAAAATGGAGAGGGGGAAAGAAATCGATACGAAACGATAACAAAGAAGAAAAAGAAAAGAGAACTGTTCTCGCGTTGATTTCAAACATAGGGAAATGAATAAGAAAAAAAAAGAAAAAAAAAAAGAAAAGACGCTGCGTTTTTCGATCCAGATTCGTTCTGTGTTTTTTTTTTTCTTTTTTTTTTCATTAGTTTGTAACGCACTACGATTTATCGCAATTTATTGTATTATCGATGAAATACTGTAACAAAAATACTGTTAACTATTCTTAAAAAAATTAAAACTTTTGTAAACTGAGACCAACCGCGTACTCACCGCTGCATCCTGAAAACTATATTCCAGAAATAATTTTAGAATTCATTTCGTGTGCGATTAATCATTCGATTATTTCGAAGAATAATTTCATTCGGTTCGTCGAACAATGTGTCTCGAGAAAAAAAAACAGCGAAGATCCCATTATGCTGCATATATTATCCTCGACGTCATGAAAATTTTTTTTTATTTTTGGTGAAATGAGTAAATCGTCGAATGCAATCAGTTTCATCCTACGTAATCGCTGTAAATATTAGGAACAACGTTCCTTCTTTAAATCTTTCTTTCTGTTCATCCAGTTGCAAATGGTAAATCTCTTGTGGGAACTCGGGATTAAACAAAGAACAGGGATGAAAAGTGAAAAATTGCAAAAACTGCACGGACAATCGCCGCAACGACAAACGTATATTTATTCTGTAGTAGGATACATTTCACTTTCGCGTGTTTCTTTGCTTTCGCGCCCCAATTGCCAACGAAACGGGGGTTGAGAACGCAGAGCACAAGCGTCGAGCACACCGCGCGCAAAAGCTAGAACCGCACATTGACACATCGACGACACAAAAGCCCCGCAATTTATCCTCAATTCATGTTGAACGTTGCAACAATTTCCTCGAAAGAAATAGCACCAAAGACTCAAACGTCTCGAAAGGTCAAAGTTAAAAAAATATCAGTCGAAAAATATCGTCACGCGTTAGGAAATAATCCGTACGGTCAGAAATTCACGGGTCGAGAGATTCGCTTGCTTAAAATTAATGGATGGCATCGAGGACGTTGCTCGAAACGAACACCGAGCAACAAGCTAACGTCAATCGAAATCTTAGAAAAATAACTAGGCGACATCGTTCCAGGCCGAGAGCCGACCTGACCTGGCTTTTCAGGCTGGAATGACTAAGGACAACAATTTAGCTACTTATTGTTAACGATCACATTGATGAGATTATCGATCCTCAGCGTGAGAAACGCTATCACCCAAGGAGGAGTCGAAGTTGGAGAACTCTCGGGTCCTCCTCTCCTGCTGAGTTTCGACTGTTCGTCCTAGCAGACGAAACGGAGATTCCTGCACACACATGTGCAGAAAAAATTATTATTATACATGTGTTAGGTTTGTTGGTGTGTTTTGTCGTTCAATTCGCTCAATTGAAGAAGATTTTTAACAACAATCTCGCAGATTAAATACAATGAATTTCACAAAAAAGAAAAAAAATTTTTTTTCTACTAAATGACAGAACCTAATCTTACGGTCATACCTTCTTCTGCATGTAACTCTGCAGATCGTAGCCCATGTAAAAAGCAATCCTCTGTAGACTTAACAGAGACCTCAACCTCAAGCAGGGATCCGGTTGGAGCAGTCGTTTCAACAGATCCTTCGCAGCTGAGGAAATATTCTCCGCGTTCGGTGGCAAAGTTCCAGGTGGTGCGTAATCGGTCCCTCTGTCCTCTGGCAGAAGTTTGCTGGATGCACCGGCTGGGTACTGCAACATCAAGAAAGTTCCAGACGTTATATTTCCAAAAAAAAAAAAAAAAACTCCCCTTTCTTCTAGACTCTTTTTATATGTAATAGATACAGATCTGTTAATTAAATAGTTGTTTTTTTTTTTTTAAGCAGAACACATTTTCAAACTTTCACAATTGTATTGTATCATCTCAGAAATCCTAGCTATCTCTATATTCAAAAATTCCACTCGAGATAGAGAATCGAAGGAAACTGACAAATTCGAAAATCCCCGTGGAAACTGTGGCTAACAATAATTAAAAATGATTCTTTTTAAGAAGACAATCTTAGCTCGTTTCCAAATTGTAATCTCAAGGATCATGAATGAAGACCCCTCAATTTGTGATTTGTCCAAAGTTCAATTGACAGCGAAACATGTTGTTGCCCAGTGTAGAAAATACAGACATCAACTGAACACAAGTGCTTCCCTGAATGACAATCTAAAGGATAAAGAATCCTAAAACTGTAACCTAATCTAAAACAATCTAACCTATCTAATAAATTGCAAGATTGCAAGAAAGTTTCAAGTCGCTAATAAACCACACAAGCATCAGCTTGATGGCTTTGAATAATGAAAATAAAAATTAAAAGAAAATTTCTCCAAATTTCAAAACTCTCGTACTTATCGGTCCATTTAATCCATAAAGATTTTCCCTTGAAAATCCTTTTTCTGACACGTCCGCGCCTAGTACTCAGTGAGTACAATTCCGAGACTCCAAAATGTGAGCGATGGCTCGGCGATTAATTGACAATCCGCACCTGGAATTTATGAATGCCGACCGCACATGGACGGTTCAAGGGCTTCTCCGTCCATGTCCGCGGTGCGGTATCCATAAATATTTGTTTTTACGAGTGGAAGGTCGGTAGACTAGAGAAGCTATTACCAATGTGGACTCTAGCCTGTCTAGGTGGTCGGTACCAAGACTCGCCACTCGGCTCCGCGCAGGTACACACGCAGGGTCAACGGCCACTCACGACCCTCAACCTATTCGCTCGTTCGTATCCCTGGAGCGTGTGCCACGACCTCGCGCGATCGTCTATCCGAACACGCCGCCGCCGCCGTTCGTTCCTTTGTCCCGTCCGCGCCGTAGTACCACTCGCCATCTTTTCTACTTTTTTTTCCCCACCCAACTTCCATCGCTCGACTCGAATCGAACTCTAGGATCGATCGTTTTCTTTCTGTCGTGGTTGCACGAATTTCAGAGCTTGATCGATGCTGGGAAAACGAGCTACGAGGTTTAGGTTTAGGCGAGAAACGACGAGGATCAATGGAAAGACTTTCGAGCGTAATGACGCGTGACGATGGCAAAATCCAAGGTGCAACAGGGTCTGAAGGACGATGGCAAAAATTTTGGTTTGCAAAGGCTTGAAAGAAAGTGAAAATCTTAAGGATTTTTTTAATCTTTTTTAAAGGTATACTCGTGATAAAGGGTAGGTACGATTTATTTATTTATTTATTAGCGAAGGAATTCAATATCAAATTCGACTTACAATTAGTCGAGGCACTCGTCTCGACTGTGCCAGAACAAAATTTAAACGTTTGCACGTCGTTCGAGAGGATTATTATCATTAATTAATGGAAGCTGTCTTTCTTTACGTTACTGTTGCACGAAACTCGAATATTTGATTTCTGAAAATGGCGCAGCATAAAATTGGCAAACGGTACTTCTGCACGAGAGGCAAAAATTAATTACACATTTAAATCACGATACTTCGTTATCAACGAGATCTGAAACGACTTCTTGCCATGCAATTCATCAAGATGTTGCGTCAGACAGAACAGGAATCGCTTTTATTACGTTATTTTACACGTCGTTTGCCACGAGAATCTCTCCAAGCAATCCCGGCCAAATAGAACCATCGAACCGCGACTCGGAAACTGAATTCATCCCACAAATCTACTTTCTAAGGTAAAGCTCGATGCTAACATATTGATTGATTTTAAAAAAATAACTGCAGAAAGAAGAATAAATAAAATGGATGAAATAATCGGACACACACTCAAAAACATGTATTTCTCAAAATTGAAAGAATGATAGTTGCAACACTGCTTTAGAATATTAAAGAAATTCTCTATCTTTGAACTGCTGCAATTTTATTTCAAAAAATTCCATTTGTGCTCATATTAAAGGGTCAGGTCTTTGTTTTCATAGTCTTGAACTTAAATCCTTTCTTTTATAAAGCAACGCGAAAGCACCGAAGTTGAAATTTTATAAATTCAAAAACTCACGATACGGAGTTTAGAAAATTTTTTTCCACAGGCATTACAAAGTGAATGGAAATTTATCAAAAATTTATTTCAACAACTGAGTATTTGCTGCCATTTAAAACTACAAAACCGATCGTTAACGCAAAATTTAAATCTATTGAGATCTTCGTCAACGCGACAAAGGCATCAACCTTGAAGAGCTTGATATTTTCATTAACCGGCCATAATATTAGAAATAGAAAGTGTCCCAAGACTATCGAGGCGACTGTGTACGTTTCAACGATTATACAGAATGTTAAAACTTGGCCGTGGAAGTTTTCGATCTTCCAAGGAACGATTTCGACAATCGGCAGCGACGTCGAGCAGTTCCTAAATCGTTGTTTACAAGCGATCGGTAGGAAAAGGAAACCTGGCGAGAGAGGCGTGGAAAGACGCGGAAGATCGCTGACCGGAGCGGACGTGATATTCCAATTCGATCTCGTCGGGAACCTTGACCGAGAGTAACGGTACAGTAACGATCATTACAAGATCGTAAGATAGATGAGGCGCTTTTGAACGAGGCCCTGCCTCGTTTCTGTATAGATCAGCGAACGGCTGGAGAGCCGATGAAACCGTTTCCAGTCGGTTTCCTCCGATACCACCTCAGCTACGTGATCTTCGATTCGGTTCGACGATCCCGGCCTTCTCAGTGCGAACGTAACAGTACACGTTTGGATAAATATCCGAAGGAAAGTTGATCGTAATCGATCGATTCTAGGGAATCGCGGAACACTTTGCTGCAGATGTTAGATCGTCTAGTTTGTGGATCGACGTGAAGATTTTTTTCTTTTTTTTTTTTTTTTTTTTTTTTTNGATCAAGCAAAGCTTTTTTTGAAGCCCTCGTTTTTTTTTTTTTTTTTTTTTTTGAACTTCTTCGTACATTTTTCTGAAAGACAGGAATATTATAATTATAACTTTGATCTTTGAATATAATTAATTAAAGTCTCGGTGAGTATGAAACATTTATTTGCTTGAAGTAATTTCTTTTTTTTCTTTGAAATCTTAACATACATAAATACTGTGTACTTTATAATCATTAAAAAATTGGAGCATGTTGATAAAATGATTATAAAGTTTCAAAGATCGAATTATATTTCTGTTTCAAGAAAAAAAAAAAATGTTTCCATAATTGCCTACGTCTACGACGAGTAAAATGCAAGACCTAAATTAATCATAATCGCATAAATAGACTCGAATCATACTAGCGAGAAAAACAAGCCAATTATTCCACGCTTATTTCTCTCGGAAACAGCGGCGAATCATCTCTCAGCGGAGTCCCTTTAATCCAAAACACCGCCAAGTACATATTCACAGAACGTCCTCGAAGAGGCATTTAAAATAGCAAATGGCCCATTATCAAATCTTCCTCCATTCTCTCTAACGCGAAACATCCTAAATCGCCCATTCAATTGACGAGGCGAACATGTACGAAACAGCCGGCAATCTCCGGCGTTTGAACAGAGTAAACAGAATCTCTCGCCGGCGACTTCCGCGTCTTCCTAGGCACCTCCGACAACGCGTCGGAGGTTCTCCAGTCCTCCAGTCGAAGTCCACTCCTCGTCTCAAGAAAAGAAACGCGAGTCGTTGAACCTGGCGTTGCTTCTCGAAGCAACTCGACTCCACTGAGTTCTTCCTTTCTTATTTTTTTATTTTTTTTTCTTTTCTCCACTAGCTTCTCAAAAAGAAAAAAAGAAGAAAAAATTCAAGCAGAAAGAACGAAACGTTCGAGTCTACGAACGATATATACAGGGTGTTTCGTAACTTGTGAGGCCCACTTCGAGAGCTGATTGTACGCCTAAAAATAATGAAAAAAAGTCATATAAATATATGTCCTATCTGTCTTCGTTTATGAGATGTAATGAATTTTATAAACAGAGCAAACTCTAGTAAGCTAGTTTTACCAGCGATGGTATATTCAATTTTCATAATAATCATAATTGGGATGAAGAAAACCCACGTGTTATTGTGCATTCAAGACATCAACACCAGTTTAGTTTAAACGTATGGGCAGGAATAATTGATAAATTTTTAATTGGACC